AGAGATGGGGGAGGGCTCAGATGGGGAATTGCGAACAGGTTGGGGTGTCTGGAAGGAGCAATGGCAGAGGTGTGGAGTTTGGGGGAAGAGGCGTGTGGAGACGTCCTGGGGCTTTGGAGTGTAACTGTCTGGGCCCAGATGCTGGGACTGGTTTGCCTGGCCCCGAGGCTTGGTCCCTGGGGGAAGGACCCCTCCACCCAGCAGGAGACCTGGTCACGCAGCTGCCTGGCTGCCAGACCAGAGTGGAAACTGCATCCGTCCATCCAGGCTGCCGAGGCCGCTGGGGAATGTGATGAGGCTGCGGAAATGGGGCCCCTGGCGGGGTGATGCAGCCGCGGCTTCCCAGAAACCTCGGTCTGGTTCTGCCAACAGAGAATAGCTGATAAGGTTTGCATTAGAAAGCCAGACCCTGAGGGGCTGGAGTGGGGCCGGCTGCCTGGAGCTGCCTGGGGAGAGGGTGCCAGGAGTGGGGGTGGACAATCTGTGGTTGGGGAGCAGGAGCCCCTCAGCCCAGCCTGGATGGACTTCCTCGCACCCTCCATATGACAAATGGAAAAACCGAGATGCAGCGCCCCAAGGGACGCGACAAGGGTCCCACAGCAAGGTCATCAGGAGGTGACAGAGCTCCCTTCTTCTTCTAGTCAAGGGTCTTCCTGCTGCCCTGCTTCCTAAGAACCCCACAAACTCCCAGATGTCACTCAGCAGCAGGCAGTGGGATGAGATAGCCCTTGTCTCATATTCTGCTCTGTCACCTCCTGGCTGTGGGATCTTGGTCTGCTACCATAACCTCGCTGAGCCTCAGTGTCCCCATCTGTATAATGGGGATAATCCATGCCTTGCAGAGTCACTGTGATCTTTCAACAAGACAATGTGGGTCTCGGGCTTAGCACACTGACTGGCACATAGTGGGTGCTCAGAAATGCTCAATCCCTTCTCCTTTACTGCTTGCGTGCGTGGTCCTGGCCAGCCAGCGAGCGCTGAGGCCGTCTGCATAGCCTGCCTCCCGGACACAACCCACACGTGGGGATATTGAATAATCTGGCTCCATATGGCTCCACTGAGCCCCCAGATCCCAAAAGCGTGGCCCCTCTCTCCTTCATTATTCGTTTATTGAGCAAATATTTATTGAGGGCCTAGTGGGTGCCAAACACTGTTCTGGGGAGGGGGCCACGAAGGCATGGCGATCATGCGCAAAGGCACAGAAGACCAGACGTGAGAATACAAGCACTTTATACACCGCAAGCATCCAACCCCTGTTCTAGCGGCATCTGTTGTGTACCAGGCCCTACCCTCAGCCCTGGGCCACAGCTAGAGGTGGGGAATGGGGCGAGGAGGAGGGGCAGAGAGCTTGCCCACTCCTCTATGATTTACTAATTAACTAGAAGACCCAAGGCCGGTACCTGGTGATAGTTTTGACTTGCCACCCAGACCGGGAGCAGAAGAGAAAGAGGGCAACTCCCCACCCAGCGTCCTTGCAGTTGCTGCCTTCGCCTCCTTTAGGGCTTTGTTGGGTGCATCAGAGGGCTGCCAAGGCCCCTGCAGCTCAGAGCCCAGGGAGGGCAGTGGGCTGCAGGCCCACTTCCCAGCTGAGATGACTGAGGCCAGAGATGAAGGTTCGGCTTGGGGTGGGAATGAGAGCAGGGCTGGCGACATAGGGCTGCTTGTGGCGCAAGAGTCAGGGGCCAGGGTGGCCTTGGAACCAGCGCAGGGCTTGTCCTGGTCAAATGAGGGAGACTCAGGCCCCACTCACAAAGGTCTGGAGTATGGAGGGCAGGGACAAGCTCTTCTGGGGACCCTTCTCTCCCCCTCACCTGATGGACTCTCTCTTGACCTTAGCCTCAACTTGGATGGCTTCTCTTCTTGCAAGAAGCCTGCCTGAACCTTCCAGGCTCAGTCAGGTGCCCCCCTCTGGCTCCTATGATACCCAGCTCCTCTCCTTCTTGGCCTGAGTCCTGCTGTGTTGCCACTGCTGGCACTGCCTGGCTAAGAGCTCCTTGAGGGCAGAGAAGGACCTTATTCATCCCTACCGCCCCAATGCCCAGCATGGCCCAGAGCAGGAGGAAGCAGCAAACAGTCTCCAACCTCTCCCCTCCCCGCTCCAATCTGGGTGCCTGGGGCGTTGGGCCCCTGTGGTATTTGGAGACCTTGGGCAGGTTATGTGGCCTCAGTTTCCGGAGGTGCCCATTATAGCAGAGAGAGGAGAAGGTCCTGTCTTGGCAGTTGAAGGTGGCAAACGGAAAACCATTTTGTCAAGGTCCCAGACTGCCTGGGCTCAACTCCTGCTCCTTCTGTGATTGAGCCAGTGGCTCTGGCGAGTTACTTAACCTCCCTGTGCCTCACTGTTCAAATCTATAAAATGGGATAATGATGGTACCTACCTCGAAGGGTTGTTGGAAAGATTAAATGAGTAAATATGGGCAAAGCAGTTGGAGCAGTGGGTGGCACCTGGTAACTCCTGTGTGTTTGCTGACATCCAATTCAAATTCAAGCAACATATTCCTGGGTTTGTTTGTTTGTTTTTACACTGATGATGTTAACCTAGTTATGGTGGTGTTTGCCAGGTTTCTCTACTGTAAACATTTTTTTCTTTTTCTTTCTTTTTTTTTTTAAACCCTTTTTATACTTCCTTTCTTTGGAGGGTTTCACTAGGTCCAGTCCACACTCAGAGAAGTGGGGGACTAAGCTCCACCTCCTGGAGGGGGAAAACCTACATGAATTACTTGAAATTCTTCTGTAAGGGAGATGTGTCTAAAAAAAAAAAAAAAAAAAAAGGGAGATGTGTCTAGTCTCCCCCATTTATTTATTTCTTCAATCATTATATCAGTACGGACTCATGGATATTTATTTTATACTTTGGATGATAATCTAATTCTGTTATTTGCTCCGTTGCTCATCCTGGTTTAGGTTTGGCCATTGGGATCTCTTTCAGGTTGGCTCCTGTTCTGATATCCCACCACCTGTTTATTTTTTGAGCATTTCCCTACTCTCTAGCACTGCAAGATGCTCCAGACTCATCTTGCATTTTTCCCTGCCTCAGCCCTGGAATCAGCCATTTCTCTAAGGAGCTCTGACTCCTTTTATTAGAGAGTGGTGTTTAGGAACCAAGATCTGGGGGCTGGATGTGCTCATTGCTACCAGGATCTCACAGCTTCTAGGCCCTTTAGAGGGGAGAACTGGGTTTGCCTTCACTTAAAAAATTAAGTTTCCCCTCTTGCCAATCGTGCAGTCTGTTGGAGGCTCCAGACGGCTGCCCACTGGCCTTTGACCCAGTCTGTAGGCCACAGGCCTGTGCAATGTCATAGGCCCTTAGTAGGCCTTACGTCCGCTGTGAGGGAGTGAGCGAGGGAACACAGGCCGCCACCTCCGCAGCACGCGGAGCCACCTCTCGTGTCCACTGGTGCTCACCAGTGGGGCCATTGGGTGGCTGAGTCGCTTTGGGAATGGGACCGAGCCTGGTCTCAGGTGCCCTCACAGCCCAGACCACTGGGGGATTCTAGACTTGCTCCTTGCTGGACCAACAGCTTTGTCAACAGTGGTGGCAGCTGCCACAGCCCAGCAACAGAGCCACGGTGGCCACCTGGGGCACGACAGGCAAGGGTCAGGTCCCAGGAAGGCCTGACTCAGCCACCATGCCCAGCACACCCAGGTGGCCCAGTGCTAACGGGAGAAAGGTCTGGTGAGCTGGTCCCTGTCCTCTCTTACCTTTCCCAACCCCAGCCCCGCCCAACACTTCAGGAAACACTGATGCTCAGTGGGCCGGGACCCAGAGCTCCCCATGGAGGCAGCTCTCCTGCAGCTGTAGGGAGTCAGGGCAGAGTAGGCACCTTGAGGCCCCAAGGCAAGCTGAGCGCCCTCCCAACTTTGCCAGGATGTCTCCTGTCTCCCCATAGCTCTAGGCTGGGAGTCAAGAGGCCCGAGTTCTGGGCCTGCCTCTACCAGTGACTTCTGTTTGGGGCACTGTAATCACATCTCTTCCTATTTAAAATCTTGAGTGTCTCCCCATCGCCCTCAACTTAAATTCCCCACTCCTGGAACTGCCTTACAAGGCCCTGGAGATCTCTTCAGCACCCTACATCACGCCCTAATAACACCAAATTGCTTGTGGTTCCTCCTTACAACATCACTCGGTTTCCTACCTCCACAGTTTACTCTGCCTGCATCACCCTCTCCCAATGCTTCACTGGTTAATTCCTACTTGTCCCTGAGCTCTTAGCTCTGGATCACCTCCTCCAGGAAGGCTTCCTCCTGTGCCCCAGACCACTTCTGCTCATCTGGTCCTGTCTCTGGTCACCCGTGTGTGACACCTTCCTAAGGCCCACTGTGAACAACCTCTGGCATACCGGGCAGCAACCTGGTACAGTGGAGAAGGTTTGGGGTGTAATATCCGGGCTTTGGCTTCCCTCAAAGCCTCTGCTCCTTCCTGCTGTGTGACTTCAGGCAAGTCACTGCACACCTCTGAGTCTCAGTCGCCCCTCTGTGAGAAAAGCATCTAACTGGGATTCAAGGCCCTGCTTTCAAGTCTGGCCTCTGCCTCTAACTCACTGTGTAGCCTTGGGCAAGCCCTGTCACTGGGCGCGGCCTCAGTTTTCTTCTTCTGTAAAATGGGGCTACCCACAAAACTCGGAGTGCTAAGGCTCCAACAAGCCCAAACTTGTGAAAAGTTTTGTAAACCTCAGAGCCCTACGTGGATGAAGAATCTATTTCAACAACTCCGTGGAGATGTGTGGGAGGGAGGCTGATGGGTGTTCTCACCGTTCCCCCCCGCCCCCCCCCCCCCCCCCAAGCCCTCCAGAAGCCTTGAGATCAAAGGTGACAGAGGCCTGTCGGCATGGAAGCCAGACTCGGCAGGGCCCACCCCCTGGCCCTCCGCCCACTTTCCACCCACCCCATTCCCAGGGTTACATGACATGTGCACCTCGCGTAGGAAGCTCTGTTTAAACACTCTGGGTGGGGTGAGCCCTCCCCCGCCCACTGCTGACACACAGCCCCTCCAACCGCACTGTTTGAACAGTCTGCAACTTTATTTCAGAGCAGAAATAAGTCATTTCCTAGCAATAAATATAAAAAATAATAATAAATTAAGGTTCGAAGAAAAATACGCACCAGAACAAAATCGTTAATACTGACAGAGTAGAAAATGTTGTCTAAAGGGGTGAGAGGCCGGATGGGCCAGCCCCCAGCCTGGGAATGTCTGACGCAGGCCGTTGTCTGCCCCCAGTCCTAGCCGGGCCCCTGTCACACACACATTCTCTCCACAAAGTACAAAATATATATTTAAAAAAAAAAAACCCTCCACACAACCAGGCATCCTGTGAGGGCCCCGAGGAAGCAAGTGTTTGGCCCGTGGGGGCTGAGGAGGGGGCCTGGGGGGCTGAGGAAGGCACTAGAGGGACGGGAGAACGGCTGTGGGTCTTGCCCAGCTGACTCTGCTGTTTGTCCTCTTCTCGTGAGGTACCCTGCTCCTGTGACTGCTGCAGGCTGACCGCCCCACCTCCTGAGACGGCGAAGGGGAGGTCAGTTTAGCAATGTCCCACGTGTGTGTCCAAAGGCCTTGGCGGGGCTCCTGCCCCAGGGGATGCTGGGAACACGAACGATGGTGACTGCTAAGTGCTTGGCTGTCTGTCCTTTGTAGGTGAAGAGGCCCCCCTGCCCAAGGTCCCTGAGCATCTCCTCAGCTCAGGCCAAGGTATCATCCAAGACCCCCCAGCAGAGCCCTCAGGGTGGCATCAATAAAGAAGGACTAGAAATAAATAAGGTCCCTGGTGGCCCAGCATGGAGCTGGCAGGAAAGCCAGTCTGTTTCTTCAAGTATTCTTAGCTGAGGGGGTCACGAGGTCTGTCAGGGCTCAGATGGGGATCCCCACTGTGTTCACCTGGTCCTTGAGGCCCAGCAGGCTGTAGGCAATGCGCTTCTGGTGGCCGGGCAGCCGCACCCCGATCCTCTTGATGTCGCTGTGCGGGGGAGGGAGAGAGGGAGAGTGAGGGGCCTGCTCTGGAGAGGTGGGCAGCCATGGCAGGGAGGTGAGGGGAGAGAAGAGGGAGCAGGGAGGGGGCCTTGGGTGCCTGGGGGGCAGAGCTCGTAAGGCAGAGGTCTGATGAGTGGATGCATATCCGGAAAGCCTGCCGACACCGACAAAATTCAGAAAATGATTGAAGCGCTGAATGCAAGCAGCTTTGTTTTTTTTTTTAAATCAAATCTGCACAAAATCTATGGTAGGTGCTGTTTTTGCCCCCATTTTGCAGACTAGAAAACTGAGGCTCAAAGAGGCGAAGTGATTTGCCCAAAGTGACGCAGGCTAAGAGGTGGAGGAGCTGAATCAAGCCAGCTGTGAACAAAGGCTTCCCTCCCCCACCCTGGGGTCTGTCCCCAGGTAAGGCTCCTCCCCAGGCAGCACTGATGCCATCACCAGATGCCAGGGACCCTCTGGGGGTGTCGCTCAAAGCTCTCTGCCCAAGGTCTCGTCACAGCCATCGCCTTATTTCACCTCCACTCCCTCCAAGTTCTCATAACGGAGGAAGGACTCAGGAGATCCTTGCTGAGGGACCATCAGAGGTTAAAGTTCTGCTGGTCTTTAATGGGAGGGCCTTTCAGGTGACCAGATCCAGTGACTAGGTTACCCTGAGGTAGGGGTTTTCCCTTTAGGGACCTCAATTTCCTCACCTGTAAAATGGGATAACAGTGCCTAACTGGAGAGTGGGAGATCCCGGATACTAGTGGCAGAGGGGTAAGGTGGCATTAGTACCAGATAGAAAGACGTGCCCAGGAGCCCATAGCCCTTCCCTCCCCCTCCTTTCCATGCCCCTCCATCCCCTTGTAAAACCACTTACACTCCAAGAGCCCTGGAGCGGACCTTACTGCTTACTCTGGGAGTTTCCTCCTTCACCATCCTCGTCCACCAGCCCAAACCCATGAAAACACCCAGGTTTTTATGGGCCCTCTCCTGGCTCTAACTAAAGGGAGCTAACTATATGGTGCAAGCTCCTATTTGCAGTTCCGGAGACATGACTTTCAGGTGTGTGGGAGGGCGGCTCAGGGACTGAAGCAGGAAGGCCAGGAGTCAGACATCTGGGAGAGCTTCCTAACCCAACACTACAGCGCCATTTCTAACCTATACAGTTGAGGGTGTTGGAAAAGAAGCACTGTTTTCCCCATACCTGTAGGTGTCTAAGTGTGGCTCCCAGATACGTATTCGGACCAGCAGGGAAGGAGGCACTTACTGAAAAGGCAGGATCCTGGGCCCAACTCCAGACTCACTGACTTTGAAGTTCTGAAGGCGGGGCAGGGAGTCTGCATTTGATCAGATCCCAAAGACCCTGATGTATGGTTTAAGGACCAGTGGGTTATGTTAGCTATAGCAGAGCAACGGTAGGGCCTAGTGCCCCAGGCTCATCCCCTCACTCCCAGCCCCTCCCAAGGTCCAGGACAGGCCTGGTAAACAGTAGGCCCTCAAGGAGTGTCTGCCGAATGAATGAATGATTGAATGAATGCTTTAGTGGCGACTGAGCCATTGCCCAGGCTGCCTGGGGCCCCTCTCCCAGGTTGGTGAAGTTAACCTGACAGGGCGGGAGCTGAGGGTGCTTCTGAGGTCCATGTAGGAGGAGGAGTCCTGGGCTGGGAGGCAGGAGGCCGAATTCTAGTCCTGGATTCCACCAGAGCCTCGGGTGGGTCCTGTCCTGTCTTTGGGCCACAGTTTCTTTATACGTAAAATAGGAGGCTCTGATTAGATGCTTCTAAGCCACCTGCCCCAGCCCCAGTCTCTTCCAACACAAAGCCCCCCAAACCTTCCCTGCCTCACTTCCTAACTATAAACAGGGACACACACAGGATGAGGCTCCCAGACCGGCCAATGCCTGCGGCCTCTTGCAAGTCTGTTCCTGCCCCAGCCTCAGTTCCCCACTCTGAGATCCAAGGCAGTCACTTCCTTGGATCAACTCCCATCACAGGGGTGGGGAAGCACATGACTGAGGCCACCTTCTTCCTGAGCACTCGCAAGGCCAGCCCCGGCCGCAGGGAATTCAAAGGCCACAATCTCCCCGGTGAGCACCGACTGTGCTCTGGCCCTTGGTGCAAGGAGAGTGGAGGGAGAGGTGGCCTGATCTTTCATCCTCTCAGCAAACATCCCATCAGCGCCACGCCTGTGCTGAGGGCACTCGGAGACCAGAAGACCCATCAGCCAGTGTCCCCACGCCTTCTCGGGACGCTGTAGCCACAGCCTCACACACTGGATGGGCCTTTTGTTGGACTGGGTATTTTTCTGGGGTGTAACATCCACTGCTTTCATTAGCTCCTCGAAACACATTTAGAACCACTCACTACTCCAGCTAGAAACTCAAGTGAGTCCAAAATAACACGGTGAATGCTCAAGACGAGAAAAGGTGGCCACTGTGGGACCACAGGGAACCGAGCGGCCAGCCCCCTGGGAGGGGCCAAAGGAAGCAGGGAGGCAAAGGCGGGGGTAAGGGCATTGAAGGCGAAATCCAGACCCCATCCCAGAAGGGCTGAATTCTGAGAGCGGCTCAGAGCCTCGCACTGGGATCCACAGCATGTGTAGACAGAGCTTTCGGGGTGAAAAAGCACTTTGAGACCCCCCTTTCTTTCATTTAATTGAAGTACTGAAGGAGGCAGTGATGTGAGTCACACAGGCCCCAGATCTGAGCACCAGTGGAGCTGATGGGAGGAGAAGCAGCGTGGAATGACTTCCTGCCTTTATGCAGGCCTTTTCAAAACACAGCACACACACCCTCCACCGATCCAAGACAGCCCCGTCCCTGCTCCTTCCTGCTCGTGGGAAAGGAATTGGCCGAGGAGCACCCCGGGCTATTTCGGGAAGCTTCTACGAACATGTGTTTCCTGTATGCACTTCTCCGTGCCCTCAGCTCTGCTCACCCAGAAGAGAAACTGTACTGTCCTCAGTGGGAGCTCCTGGAGGGGCAAAGGGGGCCGTTCCAGGTTCCCAGGTTAGAGGAGGGAGCCGAGGAACCCTGGTATTTGCCTGCAGGCTATGGGTGGAAAGCAAGGGCATGGAGGAAAGGGGAAGAGTGACATGGGTTAAGCCCTCACTGCGTACCAGGCATATCATCTGTATTGCACCCATGCAATCCCCACAATGGGGAAACAGAAACCAAGGTTCAAAGATGGAGCCTAATTTGACCAAAACCACCGGCTAGGGAGTGGCCAGTGTGGGCTCGAACCCAGGTGTGACTGCAGAGCCCAAGCTTTGGACCCTGCAGTTGGCTGGAAACAAAATATATCCTGGGGCCCGTCTCTTCTCTCCACATTTCCGTGCTGCCCTCTGGTCAGCTCTGTCCCTGCCTGACTTTCATCCCAGCCTTCCCCCGGGACAGGCTGGGGCCTAGTCTGAGAGGCCTTTAGCAGCAGGTCAGAAGCCCAGTTGAGCAGTTTTCAGAGGCCTTGGAGAATGTTCAGACACAGGCCCAAATCCCAGAACTGTGACCCAGAACTGTGGGACGCCTGGGTCATCCCTTCCCATGTGATTCCCAAAACCTCTCAGCCCCAAGGCTCATTCCCACCATGACCTTGGACCTTACACAAGCTGGGCTATTGGGAACTAACAGTATTTTTAGAAGCACAAAAAGCTAAGAGGGTAATGTCTTCTCCCTCCTGGGGTGGGAGGAGGTGTCCATGCCAAGTCCATGCCGGGAAGGGTCCCTGATGCTGGAGCTGGGAGGAGAGAAGAGCTCCCATAGGGCAGCCTGACAAAAGGCAGAACCCAGGGCCAGGGTAAGGGGTAACTGCCACTTCTTGCCAAGCTGGACCGCAGAGCTGAGAGTCAACCACACAGGGAGAGGTGCCTGGGATGGGCTGGCCTGGTGCCCTCTCTCCCCGGCATCAGCCAGGGAAGTCCAAGGGCTCTGCCCATTTCTTCTCAGCGTCCTGGAGAGGAACGCTGCCCCTAACTGGCTGCGTGACCTCGGGCAACCTATGTAACCTCTCAGCCTCAGTTTTCCTACTTAAATAGGGAAGTAATAATAGCACCTATTCACAAGGCAAATAGGGAATTCAACCAGGTGATGGCTGTGAAGTGAAGCCTTTCTTTTCTCAGCTACAAACTGTGTGACCTGGAGTAAGCCGTGTAACCTCTCTGAGCCTCAGTTTCTCCACTAATGACCTCCATGGTCCCTGAGCTCTGGACCCTGACTGACCAGGGCTGGAATCCCCCAAATGGCCATGGACCCTGGGCTGTACTGTTTCTGACGTGCCCAGTGGGACTACTGACGGGAACCACCTGCCAAGTTATCATGAGGGCTGATTCAAAGTGCTCAGGCACAGAGCTGGCACAGCCCACGATAAATGCTACGGTTATGATCACAATTACTATTATTTTCTCGCTGTGGAAAAAAGATGTAGGAAGAGGACGGAGCCACGAGTAAGTGACCAGAATTGCTGGCTGCCAGCCTGGTTCTGCCCTTCCTGCAAAGCCACCCTCCCCAAAAGAGAAGGAGAGAGAAAGAGAAGAGAGGGGAGCGTTGGGAAGGTAGAGAGAAGAGCAGATGGGTGGTGGAGCCAGAGGCAGCCTGGGGAGGCGGGAGGCGGGAGAGGGCAGGCACGGGCGGGGCCGAGCGCAGACTCACTCGTTGGTCATCTGCACCACCTTCTCGATGGCCGTGTAGCCGGCCGCCAGGAAGTGCTCAGTGTACTGCTGCATCTTGATGGATTCCAGCCACTCGGACACCGTGCGGAAGGGCACACCCTCTGAGCCGCTGGTGCTGGGCAGCCGGATGGACACCCTGCAACAGGAGATACCGGCCCGCGAGTGAGGGGCTGCAGGGTCCAGCCCACGATGCTGCTCCCTAACCCCGGCAATTCGCTCAGCTGCCCTGTGCCTCGGTTCCCTCATCTGGACAACGGGGCAGCCAAGTCAGGTAGGCTTCCGGGAGTCTGCCTGATGTGTCGGGAGCAGTCAGCGTCTATAGCTCCTGCCACCCCTCTGCTTCTACTGAGCACCCCACCACCAGCTACTACAAAATAACCAAATGTTAAGACAGTCAGGTTTTCAGAGTCACAGTCCCAGCCTGGCCACTTGCCAGCACAAAGACACTTAATCACCCTACGTCTGTTTCCTCATCTACAAAAGGGGGATGACTACAGGACCCAACTCCTAAGTTGTTTAAATGAGTTAAAACACGTTAAGCACTGAGTGCCGCGCTGGCACATTTACTGTATGTGCTGATTGGTTCCGTTAGTGCCACCTGAGCCAACCCGGTCCAGTCTAAGTAAAGCCCACGCGTAACTTCTGAGCCCCTTGCCCACCGCCCCTGGCTGCCCATTACGCTGAAGTGGCTCAGGAGTAAAACTGGGGGCCCCCTGGACAGAGGGTATGGAACCCACCGGGGGTCAAAGTCAGCCAGGGTCTTGAGGGATTCGGGGGCTCGGATGAGCTTGTCCAAGATGCTCACAATGTCGGCGAACTTGGGGCGGCGGGCGCGCTCCTGCTGCCAGCACTGCATCATGAGCTGGTAGATGGCGGAGGGGCAGTCCATGGGTGTGGGAAGCCGGAAGCCGTCATTAATGGCCTTCATCACCTGGGGGAGGGGGCGAGCAGGATGGTCAGGGGTGCCTTCACAGCCCCCAAACTCCCCCATACACAGGGGCTGCTAGAGGAGAGAAGGGGTGCCCCCGAAACAGCGGGGTTGGCCTCCTTCCTTAGGCACGACACACAACCTTCAGCGCTACACAAAGGACAGGTGCTAAGAGGATGTCTCCAGAGGAGGAAGGGTCTCCTGACTTCGTTCCCTCACAGGGTACCCTTGCCTCAGCCCTGGAATCAGCCATTTCTCTAAGGAGCTCTGACTCCTTTTATTAGAGAGTGGTGTTTAGGAACCAAGATCTGGGGGCTGGATGTGCTCATTGCTACCAGGATCTCACAGCTTCTAGGCCCTTTAGAGGGGAGAACTGGGTTTGCCTTCACTTAAAAAATTAAGTTTCCCCTCTTGCCAATCGTGCAGTCTGTTGGAGGCTCCAGACGGCTGCCCACTGGCCTTTGACCCAGTCTGTAGGCCACAGGCCTGTGCAATGTCATAGGCCCTTAGTAGGCCTTACGTCCGCTGTGAGGGAGTGAGCGAGGGAACACAGGCCGCCACCTCCGCAGCACGCGGAGCCACCTCTCGTGTCCACTGGTGCTCACCAGTGGGGCCATTGGGTGGCTGAGTCGCTTTGGGAATGGGACCGAGCCTGGTCTCAGGTGCCCTCACAGCCCAGACCACTGGGGGATTCTAGACTTGCTCCTTGCTGGACCAACAGCTTTGTCAACAGTGGTGGCAGCTGCCACAGCCCAGCAACAGAGCCACGGTGGCCACCTGGGGCACGACAGGCAAGGGTCAGGTCCCAGGAAGGCCTGACTCAGCCACCATGCCCAGCACACCCAGGTGGCCCAGTGCTAACGGGAGAAAGGTCTGGTGAGCTGGTCCCTGTCCTCTCTTACCTTTCCCAACCCCAGCCCCGCCCAACACTTCAGGAAACACTGATGCTCAGTGGGCCGGGACCCAGAGCTCCCCATGGAGGCAGCTCTCCTGCAGCTGTAGGGAGTCAGGGCAGAGTAGGCACCTTGAGGCCCCAAGGCAAGCTGAGCGCCCTCCCAACTTTGCCAGGATGTCTCCTGTCTCCCCATAGCTCTAGGCTGGGAGTCAAGAGGCCCGAGTTCTGGGCCTGCCTCTACCAGTGACTTCTGTTTGGGGCACTGTAATCACATCTCTTCCTATTTAAAATCTTGAGTGTCTCCCCATCGCCCTCAACTTAAATTCCCCACTCCTGGAACTGCCTTACAAGGCCCTGGAGATCTCTTCAGCACCCTACATCACGCCCTAATAACACCAAATTGCTTGTGGTTCCTCCTTACAACATCACTCGGTTTCCTACCTCCACAGTTTACTCTGCCTGCATCACCCTCTCCCAATGCTTCACTGGTTAATTCCTACTTGTCCCTGAGCTCTTAGCTCTGGATCACCTCCTCCAGGAAGGCTTCCTCCTGTGCCCCAGACCACTTCTGCTCATCTGGTCCTGTCTCTGGTCACCCGTGTGTGACACCTTCCTAAGGCCCACTGTGAACAACCTCTGGCATACCGGGCAGCAACCTGGTACAGTGGAGAAGGTTTGGGGTGTAATATCCGGGCTTTGGCTTCCCTCAAAGCCTCTGCTCCTTCCTGCTGTGTGACTTCAGGCAAGTCACTGCACACCTCTGAGTCTCAGTCGCCCCTCTGTGAGAAAAGCATCTAACTGGGATTCAAGGCCCTGCTTTCAAGTCTGGCCTCTGCCTCTAACTCACTGTGTAGCCTTGGGCAAGCCCTGTCACTGGGCGCGGCCTCAGTTTTCTTCTTCTGTAAAATGGGGCTACCCACAAAACTCGGAGTGCTAAGGCTCCAACAAGCCCAAACTTGTGAAAAGTTTTGTAAACCTCAGAGCCCTACGTGGATGAAGAATCTATTTCAACAACTCCGTGGAGATGTGTGGGAGGGAGGCTGATGGGTGTTCTCACCGTTCCCCCCCGCCCCACCCCCACCCCCCAAGCCCTCCAGAAGCCTTGAGATCAAAGGTGACAGAGGCCTGTCGGCATGGAAGCCAGACTCGGCAGGGCCCACCCCCTGGCCCTCCGCCCACTTTCCACCCACCCCATTCCCAGGGTTACATGACATGTGCACCTCGCGTAGGAAGCTCTGTTTAAACACTCTGGGTGGGGTGAGCCCTCCCCCGCCCACTGCTGACACACAGCCCCTCCAACCGCACTGTTTGAACAGTCTGCAACTTTATTTCAGAGCAGAAATAAGTCATTTCCTAGCAATAAATATAAAAAATAATAATAAATTAAGGTTCGAAGAAAAATACGCACCAGAACAAAATCGTTAATACTGACAGAGTAGAAAATGTTGTCTAAAGGGGTGAGAGGCCGGATGGGCCAGCCCCCAGCCTGGGAATGTCTGACGCAGGCCGTTGTCTGCCCCCAGTCCTAGCCGGGCCCCTGTCACACACACATTCTCTCCACAAAGTACAAAATATATATTTAAAAAAAAAAAACCCTCCACACAACCAGGCATCCTGTGAGGGCCCCGAGGAAGCAAGTGTTTGGCCCGTGGGGGCTGAGGAGGGGGCCTGGGGGGCTGAGGAAGGCACTAGAGGGACGGGAGAACGGCTGTGGGTCTTGCCCAGCTGACTCTGCTGTTTGTCCTCTTCTCGTGAGGTACCCTGCTCCTGTGACTGCTGCAGGCTGACCGCCCCACCTCCTGAGATGGCGAAGGGGAGGTCAGTTTAGCAATGTCCCACGTGTGTGTCCAAAGGCCTTGGCGGGGCTCCTGCCCCAGGGGATGCTGGGAACACGAACGATGGTGACTGCTAAGTGCTTGGCTGTCTGTCCTTTGTAGGTGAAGAGGCCCCCCTGCCCAAGGTCCCTGAGCATCTCCTCAGCTCAGGCCAAGGTATCATCCAAGACCCCCCAGCAGAGCCCTCAGGGTGGCATCAATAAAGAAGGACTAGAAATAAATAAGGTCCCTGGTGGCCCAGCATGGAGCTGGCAGGAAAGCCAGTCTGTTTCTTCAAGTATTCTTAGCTGAGGGGGTCACGAGGTCTGTCAGGGCTCAGATGGGGATCCCCACTGTGTTCACCTGGTCCTTGAGGCCCAGCAGGCTGTAGGCAATGCGCTTCTGGTGGCCGGGCAGCCGCACCCCGATCCTCTTGATGTCGCTGTGCGGGGGAGGGAGAGAGGGAGAGTGAGGGGCCTGCTCTGGAGAGGTGGGCAGCCATGGCAGGGAGGTGAGGGGAGAGAAGAGGGAGCAGGGAGGGGGCCTTGGGTGCCTGGGGGGCAGAGCTCGTAAGGCAGAGGTCTGATGAGTGGATGCATATCCGGAAAGCCTGCCGACACCGACAAAATTCAGAAAATGATTGAAGCGCTGAATGCAAGCAGCTTTGTTTTTTTTTTTAAATCAAATCTGCACAAAATCTATGGTAGGTGCTGTTTTTGCCCCCATTTTGCAGACTAGAAAACTGAGGCTCAAAGAGGTGAAGTGATTTGCCCAAAGTGACGCAGGCTAAGAGGTGGAGGAGCTGAATCAAGCCAGCTGTGAACAAAGGCTTCCCTCCCCCACCCTGGGGTCTGTCCCCAGGTAAGGCTCCTCCCCAGGCAGCACTGATGCCATCACCAGATGCCAGGGACCCTCTGGGGGTGTCGCTCAAAGCTCTCTGCCCAAGGTCTCGTCACAGCCATCGCCTTATTTCACCTCCACTCCCTCCAAGTTCTCATAACGGAGGAAGGACTCAGGAGATCCTTGCTGAGGGACCATCAGAGGTTAAAGTTCTGCTGGTCTTTAATGGGAGGGCCTTTCAGGTGACCAGATCCAGTGACTAGGTTACCCTGAGGTAGGGGTTTTCCCTTTAGGGACCTCAATTTCCTCACCTGTAAAATGGGATAACAGTGCCTAACTGGAGAGTGGGAGATCCCGGATACTAGTGGCAGAGGGGTAAGGTGGCATTAGTACCAGATAGAAAGACGTGCCCAGGAGCCCATAGCCCTTCCCTCCCCCTCCTTTCCATGCCCCTCCATCCCCTTGTAAAACCACTTACACTCCAAGAGCCCTGGAGCGGACCTTACTGCTTACTCTGGGAGTTTCCTCCTTCACCATCCTCGTCCACCAGCCCAAACCCATGAAAACACCCAGGTTTTTATGGGCCCTCTCCTGGCTCTAACTAAAGGGAGCTAACTATATGGTGCAAGCTCCTATTTGCAGTTCCGGAGACATGACTTTCAGGTGTGTGGGAGGGCGGCTCAGGGACTGAAGCAGGAAGGCCAGGAGTCAGACATCTGGGAGAGCTTCCTAACCCAACACTACAGCGCCATTTCTAACCTATACAGTTGAGGGTGTTGGAAAAGAAGCACTGTTTTCCCCATACCTGTAGGTGTCTAAGTGTGGCTCCCAGATACGTATTCGGACCAGCAGGGAAGGAGGCACTTACTGAAAAGGCAGGATCCTGGGCCCAACTCCAGACTCACTGACTTTGAAGTTCTGAAGGCGGGGCAGGGAGTCTGCATTTGATCAGATCCCAAAGACCCTGATGTATGGTTTAAGGACCAGTGGGTTATGTTAGCTATAGCAGAGCAACGGTAGGGCCTAGTGCCCCAGGCTCATCCCCTCACTCCCAGCCCCTCCCAAGGTCCAGGACAGGCCTGGTAAACAGTAGGCCCTCAAGGAGTGTCTGCCGAATGAATGAATGATTGAATGAATGCTTTAGTGGCGACTGAGCCATTGCCCAGGCTGCCTGGGGCCCCTCTCCCAGGTTGGTGAAGTTAACCTGACAGGGCGGGAGCTGAGGGTGCTTCTGAGGTCCATGTAGGAGGAGGAGTCCTGGGCTGGGAGGCAGGAGGCCGAATTCTAGTCCTGGATTCCACCAGAGCCTCGGGTGGGTCCTGTCCTGTCTTTGGGCCACAGTTTCTTTATACGTAAAATAGGAGGCTCTGATTAGATGCTTCTAAGCCACCTGCCCCAGCCCCAGTCTCTTCCAACACAAAGCCCCCCAAACCTTCCCTGCCTCACTTCCTAACTATAAACAGGGACACACACAGGATGAGGCTCCCAGACCGGCCAATGCCTGCGGCCTCTTGCAAGTCTGTTCCTGCCCCAGCCTCAGTTCCCCACTCTGAGATCCAAGGCAGTCACTTCCT